TAAAGGAAATAAAAGAAAAAAAATGTTTGTGTCCTTTTCTCTGGTTATAATATATAAAGGCTTTGGAGTATTTGCTTCAGTTTCTTGTCTTGTTTGCTACTTTTATTGATAAGCATAAAAACCAGTTAGTTTTTCTTTATATTGTTCAAAAATTTTTGAAGGTATCATGCCATCATTTCACAATGTTTTGACTCTGATGTCAAAGTTGGATTAAAGTTTCTGTGTAAGTTATTTATTCTGATATCATGTGTCAACTGGTCATCCCCTTTGCTGGCCTGCATCCGATCAAGAAAGTACATGGAACCAATGTGTGATTTGTGGGATGAGATTCTCTCAACACGAATTCTTTTCTGGAAACATAACTAGTTGAAACTTCACCACAAAACATGAGAGCCCTATTTCTCAAATGCCTTTTTCTGCCATTCCAGAAGCTGACATATGATCAGTTTGTTTGTAAAATATTAAGACTTTTTGACATACAGAAGAGGGTTGGATAAGTAAATTTATATAAATAAATGCATGGAAACGGTCTCGAATAATTAATAGTGAGTTACAATATGGAATGATCTGTGTTACCTAACTTAACTGCAGTCCAAAAATTATGTTACAACCATGCAAAATACAACTCAAACAATTTTGTGAAGAACGGAGCTATAGTGACCAGACTGGTGAATGGTCTGTAAGAGCAATGACTTAGAGAAGGATTTAAGGTTTGTCATAGTTTATTGTTACAGTACAATCTCTCATTGCAGTAGACTGCAGAGAGATTATTCAAACCATGCATTTATATCAAGTAGGAGAAGGGAATTAATTGTGCCTCAGTCTACAGCATTACAATCTCTCCAGAATATTTCACGGGACCTAACGGTCATCTTTCAAAAACGCTCAAAATTCTAAAACAGATGTGTGAATATAATCCAGGAGCCACAAAACTATGTCCGGCAAAAGGATATTGGCTACTATCTTAATAAAAAGAGGATTGAGTAAACCTTATGAATATTTGTAAGTATTTTCACATAGAAAATATATCTGACAATGAAGGTCCTCATAGAAGTAATAATATCCAAGAGGTATTGTTCTGTCTTGAACTAAACAATTTCCATGAAGGGAAATGGAGCATAGAAGCAGCTAGCCAATAGGTGCAATGAACTTATGAGCAATTGCAATTTTTTAAGTAAAACTAGATGTTTTCCTCATGTATAGGCTTTAATTTAGACAAGGTCAACTTTCCTGATCCTATGAGTCACTTTACAAAAATTTCAACTGCCTAAAATCTCTTAAGACATTTACCACATAACTCAATAGAGGTAGCTCTTTGAGCTGCAGTTGTCATTATCTTCATAGAGTCCTACTGATCCACTGTGGGATAGGGCTGAGATGGACGTGTACCAGAGTTTTGGACAATCCAGGTGCATGAACCTTATCAGCCGTTTCTTACTTGCTTGTACAACAGGGGATTTGAATTGTCCGACAGTTCCCATATCAGCAGGACCCTGCTTCTTCTGATCATAGGATAACAAACTGGTTTGGGAATGAATTTTAAATAGTTTATGAGCCTTAAATAGCTCAAGGGTCATAGATTGGTCATCTCTGTTTAAATCCATCTTCTGCAGGAAATTTTGTGACTAGTAAGTAGAAGGAGAAAAAGAAAGGTTTTCTTTCTTCTTGGACTTTTGAGTGAACAGGACACTCTGCTTTCAAGATGTTCAGAACATCTTTACTTTGCATTAAGTAAATGTCCATTTGATACAGACAATGTCTATAAGAGATTTCATGCTTCAGGGCTTCAGCCTACAGAATTAAAAAGAAATCTCCCTTGATGACATCAAAGATTGGTTAAAGCTGGGAAGTAAGCTATAGATTTAATCAAATAACTGATCTGAGGGAAGACAGAAAGTATTTTTCAAATACTGGTTTTATGAATCCTGCTTATATATTTAGGGCAAAACTGGTTGCCAGACTTTGGATGAGAAAGTATTTCTCCTCAGATTAGACTGACTGGCACCTTATTGTTTCTGAGTCTTTTCATACATCTTGGGTTGTGAATCAGCTACTATGTTCACCTACATGTTTTTTATATACTCAAGTGCAGGTAATGTGCAGTGATGATACCTCAGATTCTTCTCTTGTTGGTTTATGACCCAAATTTAATCCCTTCAGACTGAAATTATACAATCTAACTCAAATTATCAGTTTTAACATGGAAGTGTCTGAATGATTTATAGCAAACGATGAGATACAAGAGATTAGAAGAAAGATTTAGTGATCTTTTTCTGGCCTCAAATTCTGTGCAACTGTGAAGCTATGTCACTGAAAAGTCAAAGTACAGAAGCTATAGAGAAATAACAGAATTTTGTAGCTTACTAAGTAAGTGTAAAATACTGTACTTTCTCAATTTTCCCTCTTTTTAAATATCAGTTTAGTTGGTTCAGCTCCTATTGTGATAAAACCAACTATAAAACAGTCTTTCATTTTCTTTGCACTACTGTATGCAGGCAATAGAAACTCTGGTACAAATTGCTATTCTGATTTATTTCTATTTCACTTTCTTATCATGATTGTACTGCAATAGCATTGAGACTTTGCAATGAGATAACAGAACATTGTGACAGATCTTGTAGTTTTGTCCATTTTCCCTTTAAGGTGAAAGAGTTGTGAAAGACCTGCATATACTCTTTCATTTGTTTAAATTAATTGACTTTTATCTAAAGTCTCTCATTCAACTTTCTTCAGTTCTCCCTGATATAATTGGACCAATCCATCAAGATCAAGTCCAGCAAAGCATTTAGGCACACAAGTTAAAACCAGAAGTATTCCCATTAACTGCTGTGGATAGAAGTCTATACAAATATCTCAGGATGACTTTTCATAAACAGATAATACTTATATTTACTAATCTTTTATATTTTGCTTAACTGACAATGGTAAACTACCCTTTCTAAAGTAATCCTCATTCTGATAAGACACTCTGTATTCCAAAACATTGTAAAAATACTCAGTTTTATCAAAATTTTGAGATTACAGGCATGCATGACTAAAAGGAACAATAATTATCTCTTCTGGTTAATTATCAGATTAAGTAAGTTTTGTTTGAGTAAAGTGATAGGAGACCTACAGAGAAATTCATATAAATCTACTTGTCTTCTAGGACAAAGATTTTTATTTAACTTTTCATAAATTTTACTTCTGTAAAAGTATTGAACATATCTAGTTTACTATATACATTGAAATAACAGTTAAGAAGTGCAATTAATTTCTTTGAAGTGTTTTAAATATTTGCTATTATTTTCATTGAAGTAATGCCTACAGATACTGATAAAAACAATACATTCCACAATAAAATAAATGGTCCATTTCAGTTTAGAATCTGAACATACATTAAAAAATCGGAAGGATACTAATTGAGCAGATTTCTGCTGACCGTAGCTATTTCCAAACCATTTCTGGACCGAGTCTAAAACTCATCTTGCTCTTCTACAGTGTTGTGATTTAACCTGGCAGGCAGCCAAATATCACACAGCTGCTCGCTCACTCCCCCCCACCCGGTGGGACGGGGAGAGAATCGGAAGGGTAAGAGTGAGAAAAACTCCTGGGTTGAGATAAAGACAGTTTAATAGAACAGAAAAGGGAAAATAATAATGATAGAATATACAAAACGAGTGATGCACAACGCAGTTGCTCACCACCTGTGCTGACCGATAACCAAGTAGCGATTGCTACTTCCTAGAACACGCCTACCATTCATATACTGAGCATGACGTCACATGATATGGAATACCCCGTTGGCCGGCTGGGTTAGCTGTCCTGGCTATGTTCCCTCCCATCTTGTGCATCTAGCTCAGTCGGTAGAGTATGGGAGCTGACTAGGAGGGCACTTAGCAACAATTGAAAACATCAGTGTGTCATCAACATTCTTCTAATACTAAATCCAAAACACAGCACTAGGAAGAAATTTAACCCTATCCCAGCCAAAACCAGGACATGCAGTTACTGAAATGAGAAACAATATGCACTATAGTAAAATACTGTTTTCTTTCAGGCTAGATGGGTTGTGTTTTTCTGGATTAGACTTAGAAGAAGGGAGAAGAAGCAAAAGAGTAAAACACTCCTTTTGTGTTATTTGGTTTCGTTCTCACTGTGTATTCAAGAATGGATTCATCCTTAGGAGTAACAGTTACTTGGAGCATTCAACACCATCTCTAATAAGGTAAGGAGGAATTCCTGGGAGTTTTAAGGGGCATAATTAAGCCAACAGTAGATAAGGGGAACTTTTCCTGGTGGAAGAATAAGCTATTCAGCCGGGTTTTTCCAGGTGACAATGAAATAAACATGTGTTTAAGGACTTTGTTTGCTAAATATTCCCTTTAGGAAAAGGGAGGCAGAGTCCAAAGTGCATACTCTTTACTCTCCAAAGTAGGCGGGACAAAGGAAGTAGGAAAAAAACAAGAGAAAGCTGTTCATCATCTCTGTTTTACTAAGAAGAGCAAAGTCCAATCATGCTGCATGTCCTTAACCGTATTAATTCTGCTCATTTCTGAATAATCTTTCAGAGGACTAGACGGAAACCAAGAACAACCTTCACAGTATGTCAATAATTTTTTTTTTAAATCAGAGATATTTTATAAAATTCACTGATAACTAAAATAGGGAAAATTCTAAATAATGGCATGTTCTTTTAAATAAACATCTGTTTTCTCATTTATTTGGTATACCTATGCTGAATTGCAGAAAATATAATGCTTATATCATTCAAATGAAATTAAATGAAAGACTTACAGTTATCAAACAGGTACAAATACAAAATATAGATGTTTGTAAGCAAACTCGAAACATCTGGACTTGTTTCAGCAGGTTTATACTTACCCGTTACGATGATTCACTTGCAATGTATGATATTAATAACTTTTTTATTTTAATAAGTATCTATATTTTTCTTTCAAACAAATTGTCGTTGAGATTACTGTCTTTGGCTTAACGGTTGTGTATTTCTCGGTCAAATATTATTTTACAGGGAGCTATCTTAAATAAATTTAAAATGCATTCTGAAGATGAAAAGAAGCAGAAGCGTACTGCAGATGGAAATAGTCATGAGATCACTGCATCCAGCCAGGGTCATGAATCTGAAGACAAACAGTAAGTATTCTTAAACATTGTAAACATGTTCTATATTGAAGCTTATAAGATTACGTTATCTTATTTTAGATTTTATTTTGCATTTTATTTAATTTAATTTTTTTTTTTTATTTTACTTTATTTTATCAGGAAAGCCTAATAACAGAAAGCTTTGTATCAACATGAGAGTAGCATTGATTGACACATTCATTTGGTGCAGAAGGACCTTTTATCTCTTTGTTTTAAGGACTAAGAGTCCACAGTATTGCCTACAGTTTATTGAAAAACAATTCTAAAATATGACAGAAATGATGTTGAAATGGACATCTTGGATACAGTTATGTCATCAGCTAAAAATCTTAAAGTTTTTAGTATGGCAGGGAATCAATATTTTACACACCTTGAACATTTTATTTATTCCCCATCCCCCATGTGCAAAAATTTGATTTTATAAGTAAGTTATCTTCCTCTTTCTCATTTTGAAAGCTATATACTGCTTCAGTTCACAACTTCCCTGATCAGATAGTGGAACCACCAGCCCTTGTTGGTGTTGTTTTACCCTTGAGAGGGGTGAACTGGGAAGAGTTTGACTTAAATTTACAGCAGTCAGGAATGCTGTTTATATACCTGCAGGTTTAAATAAAAACATCTCAAGAATGCTCAATAAATCATATTCATTTTACACACAATTGTTTCCTGTAAAATTATTTCATAATTATATTTTAATTTAACTTCATTTTTATTGCATTAGTATTTCTGTGAAATGTTGTCACTTTTTCAACGCACTAAAACTATCATACCTTTTAAGCAAGGAAAAGAAGAAGAAAGCAGAAAATGCTGAGATGGTCAGCCCATTTACACTGGTAAGAATTATTCTCTCTATATATGTGTACATATATATACCTGCACGCACACTTCAAAGTGTTAAAAAATGGTTAAAATTATGTTAGAATACTGGTTTTATCTCTACCAAATACTTTGATATTACAGAATATTTGATATAGTATAGCAATCAAGCAGTTCTTTTTGTGGATGTAGTTTTATTAAAGAAGCTGTCTTATTACCGATATGGGTTCTTAGGAGTCTTCCCTTAGTAAGTTATCACGCTAAACACACCCGTACTAGATTTTTATTTGTGAAAGGTAGGGATTTCCATGTTCAGTTATTTCTTATGACAATGAAAATGGCATCCGTATACCTAAGATTATGTGTGGTTTTGTCTTCTAAATTACCTGAGTCAGGTACTAATCACACTAATTAGCCCCATTAATCATTATTCAGTCACCTGAGTCAGCGGTAAAGGGCAACTCCATGGCACTGATAAAACTTAAAATTAAAAGTACTTTAAATTCCAGATTTTTTTTTTCTGTATATTTTAAAAGAGGACTCTGTTAATATTTAATCAAAGTAAATCCTAGGTCCTTTTTTAGTAATACTGAAATGTTTTCTGTTTTGTAGGTTTAGTGTGCATAATGCGCAGCAATGATATGGCAAATAACAGAAATAAAATTATAGCCCATGATGTTGGCCAATGCCCAATTTCTCTGCTTTGCTATATCAGCTTGCATTTGTACAATTCCATCATACCACTATAATTTACAACAGTAAACTTAGTATTTTACAATACAGAATAAATGGTTTTGTAACAGATGAGCTCAAACTTTATTAAGTTCAACAGGAAGAGATATTTAGGATTTCAGTACATTTTGTTAACGTCTATGGTACATTAGGAACAGTTTTTCTGACTGCATAATAATGAATTTACAGTGAAAGTAATTATTGCCTTATTATCACAATGCCATTAAAATTTCTTATAATTTGAACTTTAAATGGCAAAGTTAAAAAGGGCAAATTTCATATGCCTTGATTTCATATGGCCTTTCTTACCCAGGTGCAGATATTGATGCATTAAAATAGTATACTTCTCTGGTTTTGAGAGTTTATAGCATAAAAGTGCATATATTAGAAGGATTTATTCCTGTACATTCAAATAGTTTTGTAAACTTAATTTCTAATCAGATGAAGTTGTAGTTTTGTGATACTAGGTGTGCAACTGATAGCTTTTTCTTGACTTTCTTGACTTTGTAGACATAACATTGTGTTAGCATTCTAATACCACAGTTAGAATTAATTTATCTTCTTACTCACAGTTTCGATACTCCAATTGGTCGGATAAATTACTAATGATACTAGGCACTCTCCTGGCAATAGCCCATGGAAGCAGTCTCCCTGTTGCGATGATAATTTTTGGTGATATGACTGATAGCTTTGTTGCTTCTGGAGGCTCAAATTTTCCAGGTAAGAATATATCTGCTATGAAGACAACAATGGCTCATATTTGGAAAAGAGCCAGGGAGATTCAAGCATTTTGACAGGAGATATTGATGTCAGAAACCCCAACTTGCTACTATACTATGATGCAAGTTAGTAACTCTTGTGTTTGTTATAACAGAGATGCACTATGGAATTTTTTTGGCTCCTAATTCTTAGTTTCTGCATTAGTAGATTTTATTTTTAATTTTTTCAAATCATCCACTACAGTGCACATTCAACAAATCATGTTTAACTGTGGCTGTGATAAATAGAAAGAAGCTGGTTTTCCATGTCCTCAGCATGAGTTCCTGTTGATTCTCTTGCGCCAAATCTGACAATTATAGTTCACAAAGTGAATCAGATCAGTAAGTAGATCTAACAGAAAATTTGCTACCAAAAGTAAAAGTACTAATTTTCTTTTGGATCAATTTGTTGAATAGCCTCATTTGCTGAATCAGGGGTACGAAATCAAACACAAAGGAGGGCAGGCATGCACTGCTGGATACTAGAGGAAGGAGTGATACTGTCACTTTGGTATCAACTCAATTATTCTAGATTATGTTGTCCTCTGAACTTACACATTAGATGTTAAACTTGTGAACAGGTTTGTTGCCTGAAATATTATCTAATAAAATTTTATTAAACATTTTAATAAAAGTCTATGGTGATACAGAAAAAATAGAGGATGTGACTATCTTCTGTCTTGTATCCATTTTTGCTCTTATTGGGCTGCTATAAGACAGAAACATGGGCATCCTGCCTTTATCAGAACAAGTAATTTATGATTTACTCCTTCCCAAGTACAATAAATTGATCAGATTTTTATGGTGCAAATGCAAAATGCTGCAGTTGTAGTCTTCTCAAAACATTTACAACTAAGTTCTCATGTGCGGCAGTAAAATTTCAGGGCCAACACCGATATTTTAGCCAATGTTTTCAAATGGGTTGAGATATCTACAGGTACTGATTTGATGTCAGTGTCTGGACCTGTATTTTCAATCAGTTTTGGCATTATACAAATGCCCTACGTTTTCAAAAAAGAAAAAATCAAACTGAGCATTTAATGAATGCTCAGGAAAACCTTCTAATCTCAAGTTACACTGATGTAGTTTTGTAGTCAGTGGAGTTATGACTAACCTTATATTAGTATAATCATTGTTTCTGAACAGGTAGAAGCCTGAAATTGTCACACTCCTTGTTTCATTAAAATCAACTTGATTCAAAAGGAGATGTAGCAATTCAAAATTTGCTGAACAGCATGCAGGAAAACAAATTTGTTAAAACTTGCTCTATTAAAAGTATTTACTCTTTTCTTTCTTTCTAAGGAAACATTCCTCCAGTGAATTCCTCTTTAGATTTTCTTGGCAAGCTGGAAGAAGAAATGACAAGGTAATTAGAAATTGATATTTCCTCTTCTTTTTTTAATGTAGGTACACATTTCTACTCAAGCCATTCTTCTCCCACAGACGTTTTGCATACTTTAAACAACATAAAAGCAATGGTTGATCGAATAACGTATGTAACTAAAGATTTGCCTGAGATTATTGGAGACACTGGGAGGATTCTTGAACATCCCCAGCCATTCCCAACAACTTCCCTGTAATGTCTTGCTCTCATTCATCCCATTCCCTTTTCAGGGGTGCTCTGTGTCCCAGTGCCACCTGCATTTCCTTCCTTCTTCCTTCTCTTCCTCTGAATTTATAAACAGTACTTGTTATGCTAAAAAATTGTATTGATTATCATCCATCGATTCCTTGAGATATTGTGATTCACTGATGAAAAGCAGAATTAAAATTGCCAGATAGTATCTACTTTGCTGCCAAAGCATTAAGTTCAACTAAATTACATGGACTACAGAAAATACAGAGTTAGATTATATGCAACCTTAAATCTAGCATTCTATAGCTAGCAACAACAGAAGACAATAGTCAGTAAGTGCTTCTGCTATAAAGCTTGATAAAGAAAAGGTCAAATAAGCAGAAACATCAGCTGCCAATAGATGTATTTTGTTAAGGGGTTTTATTAACCACTGTCCATAGACTTAGTTTATGCAGGATGTCTAAAGTTCATGTACAATTTCTTGTACCACTTCAGCTTCTTTTCTTCAGGTTGAAGTCTGTTCCTCATTAGGTATTGAAAAATATCTGACATCTCAGGAATGCTGATGTGGTCTTCATGGTAATTGTCTTTTCTGAAAAGAAGGAGGAGATAAGGCATTCACTCTAGTAACTCTTGCTGGTTTATATTGAAATGCATTATCATTTCTCGTAACAGTGGACTGTAAACTTATAGATCATTTAGATTAAGTAGTTAAGTTTCTAATTAAAAAAAAACTATTTACACCAAAAAAAAAAGTTCTTTACCTTAAAATAAATGAGCAAGAACTAGTTAGGAAAAGGCTGTTACTTAGAAGTGAAGAACTCATATTGATGAGAATGAACTGGCAGGGAATTGGAAATTATGTTTTATAAGACAGTATGGACACACAGAGTTTCTTGCTCCTGCAACATTTCTGTCAGTCAGTCTCTAACATAAATGCAAGTAATGCATACACACTTTCAGTGGAATATACTTGTGCCCAGTGATTTGAAAGCAAATTTGAAGGCAAAATTGCAGAACAAAATAATTTGGGCATGGGTGAAGTTACCCTAACTGTTCTATGTTTAGTAAATAGCTGATGCCTAGTTGCACATCATTTTTAAAGTCTATCTTACGTTTATTTTAAAGGAACTTTAAAAATAGTTGTTCTTACTACATATGCAATTACAGAATTCCTTTTCTGAAACTCACTCTTCATCTCCAGCATATATTTTAACAAGTCCGATAGTTTTATAATGTGTCATATAAACAGCAATTCCTGTCAAAGCGTAAAATTAGATCATCTGAATTTAATTGAGTGTTCTGTTATTCTTGCAAATGTAAAAAATACCCAGTTTATTTTCTCTATGGCAGTTAACTATTCTCTATATTTTTACCTGTTTAATTATCTCTTTCTAGTAACTGGTCTTATGGTTGGATTGCCTTTAAAACTGTATCACTTGCTGTTATTAATTTCTCTTAATTTTGAAGATATTTTGTTAGTGTTTCCATTTCCGCTTTGAAACGAAGTAATGACACAGCTCTAAAATCAACATATTTTCTTTTTTTTTCTATTCAAGCATTTCTAACCTGTATTTTAAGAGAAGGATGTACTAGAGTTACACAAGGTATTACTGACCCTTATAGCCTAAAAGTAGTGTGTAAATCAATGTGTCATTTATAAGTCTTTTAGACCAACAACAAGTCAGAACTATTTTTGGTTGATGTTTTGGGGTTCTTTTAATCTCTGAATTCATATCACATCATCTCAACTAAAAACAATAGGAATCCTCCCATTGCCCTCAGTCTAGGAGTCGCTACTGCTTAAAGAACAAAGAGTACAGGAAAACAGACAAGCTGACACAAAGAAAGTAAATGTGAATATAGATCTACAACAACATCTAAATGTTGAGAACTACCTGTTCTCATGACCCTAGAGACGGTCTATTTGAGGGAGATCTTTTATCAACATCATGTATGCCACCTTGTCTTTTAGACGTTAACTCTGAAAGTACAAGTATGAATAAAAAGCAGCCGGAGTTTCTCTTTAGAAACAAGTTGTTGAATGAGAAATGTATTGCTTATTAGCAGCATAGGAATAGGTTCTCTTTTCTAAAGTATCTAGATAGACCCTTGAGTTAGTGTGTTCACTGGTTTGAAGAAGCAGCTGTTTGTACCCACCCCTTGTTTCTCTAAGAAACCTGCATGCCAGCAGGTCAAATAATAATAAAAACTGTTTACAAGGACAAAGTTCTCACACAGGTGTGTTCAAGTACTGAACTATACATGTGGACTTGGTTGTGTTTGTTATTCAAACAACAGTTTGCCTAAAACGCAACTATTTCTTAAAAGATAATCTTAAAAGATTTCTTAAAAGAACAGTTATTTTACAATGCCGTGAGCATTTACTCTCTGTTAAGTTTCAGCAGTGAATTTACAGAATGTATTTCATCAGCATGGAATCTGGCAAAGATATCAATCCCTTTTGATACAATTTGTTATGAAACAAAGTCCAAGCATAAAACAATTCTTTGAAGATGTAACATCATAAAGTAATTGTCTAAAGTAATTACTGCTGAATTTTGAAGCAGTGTTCTTGGTTTTAGCTGGTGGTTTCTGTATAGAGTTTTAACGGAGCTGAAGATGATCAAGGTCAATATTCAACTAACCAGCGTTCAGTTAGGCATTAACCCATTTTTATTAAACAATTTAGGTAAAGTTCATTTCATAATGAGTATAGTTCCAAAGTCCCTGACTATCTCAGCCACAAAAAAGACTGGATTAGAATTTGAAAAGTTTCATCTATAAAACTATTCTCTCCTTTTTTGAGCAGAGCGTTTGCACACAGATTCCTGCTCTTGCCAAGTTTCATGGTAAAGAATCAGTATGCACAATTTACTACATGTGAGTGAAAGTCCTAAGAGTTTTCAAGCTTTTTGTTAATTATTTACTTTTATATAGATGGAGTAGTCTTACAATTACATGTAATATACACCATGAATATTTAGCCATTGGTTTTGGTCAAATTTTACAAACAGGGAATCAGTTCAGTTGCATTTTTCTGGTTTAGTTCTGGTTTAAGTTCACCTGTAACTGATTCTGATGTCAATTTTGAATCAAATAAAATCTGATTTAATTCTGTTTGAACAGTTTAAAACTGTGACTCAAATTCAGTTCCAGTTTGTTCACACACACCTTGGTTTTGATTTGACACCCTGATCATAGCACAGAGCAGAATTCATTTAAAAGCAAAATAGCAGTTATGAATAAAGTAGAGAGCAAAAGAATTTTTGATGTAATGGCATTTGCTTGCAATAGATGTATATATAGTAATGCTGTATTCTCAAATTGGGAAATATTTACAGCATCCATGCATATATATATTTGTATAGACAGGCATGTTTTATGATGTAAATGTGTGTGTGAATATAGGTATATATGATTAGGTCTGTCTATGTGTTAAAACAAAAATATTATGGAGTTTTTGGAAATGACACATTTAAGTGAAAAGGGTATTGCATCTAAAATATAGCTCTAAAATAATCTCATGAGAAAATATATACTATATTGATAAAAAGAAAAAGTAATTCCTGTCTAATAATAGTTTCGTTTCATTTATTGCATATCTGAAAACTGACATTAAATATTACTCATAGAAGATTTGGCAAGTTTCACAGAGAAGCGTAAACTCTAGTATAAACATATAAACTCTAATTCAGGTCTGAAACAAAAGAAGTAAGCATCAAGCTAAATACAGACTAGCGAGGTAATTAATTTCAGAGAATCTTGCCTTTTTTTTTTCTTTCAGATATGCATACTACTATTCTGCAATAGCAGCTGGTGTTCTTATTGCTGCTTATGCCCAAACTTCATTTTGGACCCTAGCAGCAGGCCGGCAAATAAAAAAAATCAGAGAAAATTTTTTTCATGCAATTATGAGACAGGAAATTGGATGGTTTGATGTAAATGATGTGGGAGAACTTAACACTCGTCTTCTAGAGTAAGTATACTATACCTTTCCCAATGTTATGTTATGTTATTTTATTTTATTAAGCATGTATGAGTTACAGTCTTTTATTTTTATTTTTAGATTTAATTATTTCATTGTGAAATTAAATTTCATTGTGAAATTAAATTGAATTATTTCATTGTCAAATGAAGTTTTCAAGTTTTCTCATGGAGAGTCTCAGAGACTGAACTTCTAATACTTCTGGTACTGGACTGTCACAAGGATATCAGAAAAATTGATACTGATAAGTCCCTTGAACTCTGAGAATGACTAAAGCCCAGCCTACGAGATTACCCCCATGAAGAGAAAATATAGTTCATTTCTGTGCACGCTGAGGACTGAATAAGGTGCCGACTGACCCCAGCAGCATGCACAGTTTTACCTGCATGACAAGCTATTCCTTTCTCTTTGCCTACATGAAAGGCTTTATCTTTTCTTTCCAGATAACCCACAGTTTCCAAACAGATCAAAAATTTGGAATTAAGAAAGTGAGAGTAACTTTGCACTGTAGGCAGAATTTCAACCTTTTCAGACAAAAACAGGTTTATAGCATTACATTTTCACAAGAAATATGAAATTTTCCTTGACCACACTATATAGTGCTTTATCTTGAAGCAAACAGTTGTTTGGGAGTAATTGAATAATAAAGTCTGTCCTTTACACAGATGCCCGTGTAACAAAACTGGAAAGTTTTCTTGTGCTTTCTACATTTTCCTTCCTGTCTGGATGTAATTTGTTTTTCAGTGATGTCTCCAAGATTAATGAAGGAATAGGTGACAAAATTGGATTGCTTGTTCAAGCAGTAACAACATTTGTATCAGGATTTATTGTTGGTCTCATAAGAGGATGGAAATTAACCCTTGTAATACTAGCAGTCAGTCCTGTCCTGGGACTTTCAGCAGCTCTCTGGGCAAAGGTAAGTTAACATACCTTCAGCATCAGGTTTTATATTAATGATGCATAGTGAAATAAATCTACATATCTGTAATTCTTACTGTTAGAATGTATTGCTTAGAACAATTACAGCTTTAGACAACATCTATGTACATAAGCTCTTACATGAACTGTATGTAAGTATCCTCATGTAGTTTGCATATTATAATTCCCATAGACTGGACAGACGTGTTTGATTTGAAGCTCTTTCTGCCAATGTAGCATATCTTTATATAGAAAAGGAAGCAAGATATATGAGTGGAATCCACATCTGTAACTGTTAAACGTCATCCACATGAGTACTTGTTCTGTTGAAAGGAATAATTGCACTTCCTGAAAAAGTAGTGAATAAATTAGACCAAGCCTTGCTCTCAGACACAGACTGTTTTTTCAGAGTTGTTAACAGCTTTGGTAAGAAATTTTAGACAAACTTAGGAGAGAGAAGTACTAAATTAGCATGGGATTGGAGTGACTTACATTTGTAGTTTGGAAGCCCTCAGATTTTTATAGTATTTTATTTCCCTTACATTTCAAAGATCATATAAAGCTTCTCTGTCTTAAGTGAGTATATTGTGGAAAAGGTAAGAGTAGAGAAGCATGTGCTACATATGTCTACTGGCTAAGAGTCTTCAGGGACTGTGGCCAATTAATGCAAGCTATAGAGCCCTCTGGCTCAGGTAGCCAGAGATGAGAATGAGATGAGGAGATCTACCTGGGGAGAACCACACCAGATCAGTATGAGTAGTCATCTAATCTCCTGCACTGGGTGAAAGCAGAGTGGAAAATCCAGCCCTTAGTTGTTGAAAATGGGTAATGTTGATTTTTTTATTTCATTCGTAATGTACTTAAGGATTTTGATATTGAACATTCTGCACTCATACATAATATAATCAAAAGGATTCATATGGGAAGAAAGTAACTTTGATAAAAGTCATTACGAAGTGCTTGAGCTCATTCTGTTTTTCTTAAGTCAAAATATTTGATCCCGTATTAGGTTCTCTCTGCTTTCACTGACAAAGAACAAGCTGCATATGCAAAAGCAGGTGCTGTTGCAGAGGAAGTTCTGGCAGCAGTCCGTACTGTAATAGCTTTTGGAGGACAGGAAAAAGAAATTAAAAGGTAAGAGCAATGTTTGCTTTCATCAGCTGATTTTAAAGTACTCGTTTCAGATGGTTTGAAATTTTCTTGTATCTTTGCCGTTGAAAGTCTGTCAAAACAAGTAAGTCTTGTGCTTCCTGAGTTTTTAGGTAGTGGGAAATTGCCTGTAACAGGCTATTTAAGTTTCACTATATGTTGAAACACAATTATTTTTCTAGAAAATGACAAAATAAGTTGATATATTGTCTCTACTCTAGAAAGTGTACAAACTACTTTAACATCACACAGTCAGAGCTTTAGACAAAAAAAAAGGCCCTGCCGTGAGAAGAGATGGTGGTATCCTTGGTAATCTGATTACTCAGTAGTTGTTGTGAAGGTCCTAATAAACAGTATCTCTATTTCCACTATACTGTAAAACATCATTCTTGTGATATATTTTAACCTTTTATCTTAAGCTAACAATTATAACCTCAAAACCTGTCATGAATGGTTCAGGATCAAAGTTCACTGACCTACAGGTTTTTTAAGGAAGTTGAATGCCAGTCCCTGAACTGCAATGCCCTTTTTTTTCTATATACCAGGTTGACTGATGTTGGCCTTTTACTTTACCTTAAAGTCTCTGTGCCTGGCTTACCTTTGTTCAGCCTTAGGGTTATAGATTTTATATATCTTGTTCTACTTTGTGAATGTTCTCTTTCTAATTCATCCACAGAGTTTTCAGTGCTGTGTGCCATGGTACAAGTCTGAGTCTATTTTGAACTTCTATCTTTCTTCCAGATACCATAAAAATTTAGAAGATGCTAAACGTATTGGAATAAAAAAGGCTATTACAGCTAATATTTCCATAGGTGCTGCTTTCTTACTGATATATGCATCATACGCACTGGCCTTCTGGTATGGAACTACCTTGGTCTTAACTGATGATTACACTATTGGCAAAGTTCTTACAGTAAGTATTAATAAGTAAATTCCCAATAATAGCGAGAAATACTAAAGAAAATACATTAAAGTGCATATTGGGAACTTCTTTGAGTTTAATAAGAATTATGTGCCAAAATCGGCAAAATAGCATCCCTTCTTCTCAACAAAAGGATTCTCACCACAAAAGTCTATGTGTTGTTTCTATAGTATCTCAAAATCTACATCAAGCCAAATAAAACATATATTATTTTCAACTGTTTCTACATCTTTTCTAACTTCCATAAGATCAGACTGATACAGAAACAGTTCAATCAAAACCTGAAGCACAGTACCCTTCCTAGTTGCTATTTGTTTTCAGATTTGTGGGGCTGAATATATTTTCAGGATGCAGAAGCAAATACTTTTTTTTATTAGCTGTTGTGTGGTCTAAGTAGATAATTTTATTGATACTTTTCTTGTATTTTGCACCATAAGAGCTTGGAATCCCTTCTCAGTGTTTTTAGAAATCGAGGGGGAGAAAAATATACTAGGAAATATGCCACTATCTAACCAAAAGAAGAAAACAATAACTCATAGGTCATAACTTAAATTCTTGTCTTGATGTGGCAACCATTCTAATTTTGTATGAGATATCAAACAAATATGGTAAGAAGAACAGCTTTGTTAACCATGATGAAACCCAGCCAGGACACCATATATATGTATCTATATATATTTTTAAAACAATGGTTTTGTTTTATTTATGAATCACTGAAGTTTGCAAAAAATGTCTCTGATGTGTTACGGGCTCTTTTGAACCTGTCTATTTTTTTTTTAAAGGCAGGCTGGCATACAGAACATCTCGGTGAGGTTCATGCCCTTGTGTGTAATTTTTTCAGTTCAAAGTATTTGCAATTTCTGTTGTCTATGTTGTAGTTCATTGGAATGGTGTTTTTACAATGTGATCGGGAGGGTGTTGCCTTATTAGGTATCACATCTGTGAATGACCACTATTGGAGAAAAGATGATGGGTGTGATGGACCTTTGCTCTGATGTACTATGGCTGTTACTATGATCTCTGTTTCAGCAGTGTGTCTTTATTACTTTTGTTTTGATACTAGCTGAAAGCAATAAACTATGCTTCTCTGAGAAAATGATATATTTTTTCTTTTTCTGTTTTTTCTTGTTTGCTTGCACTCATTCTCTTTTATTCCAGCAGAGGGACCCTTTGTTACTTTGTGATGGAGAAGCTGGATTTGTATACTTCTATTTCACTGTCACTTTGAAAGCAGAATGATGGTGCTTGGCATATCTGTCTTTGTTCCATTGGAAGATGTGCAATATACTTTCTGGTCTTTGGAATGTCTTTTGGCAAAGAATGAATTAGTACAATAAATCCTGAGACATCAAGTGTCATTATACATTTTTTGGCATAGATTTTGCAGGTCTCAGTCATTTTTTCACTTCTTATCAATATATTTGCAACATTCATAATATGCAGGAACTCAGTTCTCAGCTGAATCATAAAAAGCCCTTTTCTTAATGTTATTCTCTGTTTGAGACCCTTTCATTTTTTCTTTAATTCTAGATACCTTAAACTTCCGTTAACAAGCATGGAGCCTCCTGACCCAAAGATATCTAATGTAAATAAATAAATGTAAATCTCTGCTTAAATAAGAATTGATATATGTCACCATAAACATTTTTTTCAGGTTTTTTTCTCTGTATTGATTGGAGCTTTCAGTATTGGACAGACTGCTCCAAGCATAGAGGCATTTGCTAGTGCAAGAGGAGCTGCCTATACAGTCTTCAAGATCATAGACAACGTGAGTATCTTTATCCTCGCTCTCATTTCAAAACTGAGAGACCCTTCTTTTCAAAGTACAGGCACTATTTATGGATATGAAATTAGTAAGAGTAAATAACAGTGTGTAAAATAAGCAGAAATATAAACATAAAAGCAGATAGAATGAGATAATTAAGAACTCTGTTTCTGCTTAATGGTCAGTGGATTGGTTGTTTTTCACACAAATTGTTTCAGCAGAAAGGGCAAAGCTATAAATGAACCCCGTATGAAAAGCTCATTAGAGATGATCTGTTCAGGTTAATCAACAGGCAGTGAAATGAATCTCAAATTATGGCTAGGTCTTAAAGACAATGTACTAAATTCACAGAAAAGCTTAAATGGAGAAATTATAAAAGTATTCTTGCATGAGCAGATCATCAATGTAGTAATGAGGCAGCAAAATATCATGCAATTCACATGTTTCAGAAATCTCACCTAAATTACTTTAAAATTACATTTAATATCTCTGCAGAGTAATGGTGCACTCTAGGACTTCTTTATGAAAAAAATCATTAGGAAATATGTTGGGTTTTTTTGTTTGTTTTATTTTGCACAGGAACCGCAAATTGACAGTTATTCAGAGACAGGTTACAAACCAGACCACATTAAAGGGAACTTGGAATTCCAAAATGTTTACTTCAATTATCCATCCAGACCAGATGTTGAGGTACTGTAAACGAAACTTTATACATATTAAACATGTGGATCATTTTTTAGGAAAAAAGGTCACATAAATAAAATTTTTTTGAAAATATAACAGTTCCAAGTTGATTCTCTAATTTTTATAAAACTACCTTGCCATCACAGTGATTTTAGCTAGAATTATTTACACCTTAGCTAAACATACTAAGTTTTCTGAAAAATTTTCTGTCTAAAGGCAGTGTGGCTATGCAATAAAACTTAAAGATCTATTGCTATCAGAATCTGAATTTATGCATTTAACCCAAGTGTTTGTGTATAATAATAATAATGAGATAGCAGCTTTCAAAAGTACCTACAACGCAGCTCTGTTAAGACTATATCTCAACCAGTTAAAGAAAGCAGATCCAGCAAGGTCTTGTTATATATGGAATAGAGATAAGAACCTGTATTTGTCTGTCTAGACAGAGAAAAGGTTTGCTTTTTAAAGCACTGTCATAAATCCAGAGTCTTAATGCAGTGGAGGTGGAAGACATTTGAATGATTTCTGAAAATATTTTTATGAAGAGTGTCTTTGCACTGTGTAACTATTTCCTTCCCTACCTTGAAGGAAAATCACTGACCTTGATAAAGGGATCTTTCTTACTTTCGATAGGCAGAAAGGAAAGATACAGAGCTTTCTTTTTAAGCCATTTTTACTCATAAATATGTTAAATATTTCGGCTTTTCCTTCTATCAAGAAAGTGAATGAAGTGAATATGCTTGATTTTTCTTCATATAGAAATATAAATGAAAAGGCAACTATTGATCTCAGTGGATTATTTTATAAGTTTATACAGGTATGATACAAATAGAGATTTCTCCCCCATGGTTTCAGAGATAATAATTATGGGAAGTTAAGGCTACACCAAACATTTAGTAAGTATTTCATAAATTATAGTAAAGAGAAAAATGTTGTAAAGAAGCCCCACCAGCAAGTCTAATCAAAAGGGGAAAAATTAAGGATGCTTCAAGGTAACTAAAATGACTTTCCTTCCAAAACAATGTAGAGTATATTCTATCACTTTTAACTGTGACTTTTACTGGACAGTAGTTTTCCTGTAGCTTACATGGTGCATTAAAGAAAAAGGCGAGGCAACATAATACAGAAATATTGAATCATATTGTTTTTATATTATATTTTAGTTATGGGTAGTAATCATATTATCATTATTTTGTTGTATGAACTTGTTCATGATATGGGTAATTGTGAAGTGTGTTGTATAATACATTGATATTGGACCAATTGTGATGTAAATATGAAGAAAAGTAAGCTGAAGTCATTAGTTATCCAAAATTTAAACTCACATGTTTATAGATTTTATTTTGTACCAGATTCTGCTCTAAATGTGAAACTTCAGGGTTTCTTCAAATTTACACTGACATTTTTACATACTGTTATGTTTTTGGTTACCTTTCTTACATGCACAGATACTGAAGGGCTTGAATCTCAAGGTTAGTTGTGGCCAAACAGTGGCCCTGGTTGGTGGCAGTGGCTGTGGGAAAAGTACAACTGTTCAGCTCATCCAGAGATTCTACGATCCCAAGGAAGGCACGGTAAGATACCTCAAGTGAGATGCCGGCTCTGTGTGTCACAGTTGTTGGAAGTCTAGCTCTGGTCTCACTGCCCTTGTTCCAATGACATGGTAAAGTCTCCCCTAAAAAGGCACGTGCCAACCTGGGGAGAGAGGTTCCTTGACCAAAACACTTAGTAAACAATTTTTGTCTGCTTCCTTTTGTTTAGGTTACCATTGATGGGCAGG